AGTTGAATATACCATGGACTGCTAGTAGAACAAAGAGGTTTGTCCTGGAGAGGGCGAAGCCAGAATGTTCCCTGCAGTTAATGATTCTGAAGCTTTGTCTGACATACTTTAGGCATGTTGCAAGGAGGGACTGGTCCTTGGAGAGGAACATCATGTTTGGGAGAGTGGAGGGACAGCGAAGAGGAAGGCCCTCGATGAGATGGATCGATTCTGTGAGTGGAGTGGTGGGAATGAATGTGTTTGAGATGGCGAGGTTGGCACAGGATAGAGGCGTTTAGGGCTCTTGTATATAGGGTCGCTATGAGTCGCAAATGACTCGATGGCACATAACAACAACAACCTTACCCTGACAGCAGGATCTTACACAACTTTTTTATTAATCCGACATTTATTGAGCATCTACTATGTGCCCTAGATGTCAGTGTGCCAGGATTTTATTATTCTGCAAAGCTATGGTAAGGAGTTGTGCTGACAACCCAAAGGGATTGGAGTCCACCAGGTGGTTCATGGGAGAAAGCTGGGCAATCTCCTCCCATGTGATTTACAGCCTCTGAAAACCTGCTGGAGGTGCAGCTATGCATCTGTTCCAACTTGATGGCACTTAACCAGAAGGTTCTTAGTTTGAACCCATCCAGCAGCTCCTTGGAAGAAACACCTGGTGATCTGTTTCCACAGAGAGTCTCACTCTTTTTACGGCTCTTGACTTGGAATCAACACTTAGCTGATCTTCCAGGAGGCTTTTTAACTTAATGGTCAGGCGTTGCACTTAATGGTCAAAGGCACATGGTTCAAATCCTCCAAGAGAAAGAGGAACAACCTCTTCCTGTGCAATTCACTGCCTCTGAAAAGCCACTAGAGGGTCAGCCAAGAGTTGGTTCTGATTTTGCAGTACACAATAACAACAATCACATAGGAGGAGATTGTCCATCTCTCTCCCTCAAAGGCACTGAGTGATTTGAACTCCCCTGAAGCAAGGAGTGGTGATAGTGGGCATGGGGTGGTGGAATGTTGTTGTTGTTGTTGTTGTTAGGTTCTACTGAGTTTAGTAAAATCCATAGTGACCCTATAAACAACAGATCTGACCCCTGTCCTATCCTGCGCCATCCTCACACTTCCTGACACATTAGAACCCATAGCTGCAGTCACCTTGTCAATCCACCTGGTGGAGGGTCTTCCTCACCTTCGCCAACCCTCTGCTTTTCCAAGCATGATGTTCATCTCCAAGGAACAGCCTCTCCTAACAACATGCCCAAAATATGTGAGATGAAGCTTTATCATCTTTGCCTCCAAGGACCACTCTGACTGCACCCTCTCCAAGACATGCCTGTTTGTTGTTTTGATCGTCCAGGGGATGTCCAGTGCTCCTCTCCAACACCACAGCTCAAAGGCAGCAATTCTTCTTACATCCTTACTCACATCCTTACTCCAGCTCTCCGATGTATAGTAAGTGATGGGATAGACCATGGCCAGAATCAGACACACCTCAGTCCTGCTTCTCTTAGTTCTAGCTTAGAGGTTCCCTTAACCAGGAAGGAGCCCTCAGCAGCACACACCATCATTCAAAGTGGGGGTGTTGGATGTGTTCCCTAAACCCCTTGTCATTGCCAATTCTAAGCCCATGCGTACAAAACACCGCTCCGGGCAATCTCCTCAGCTGTACGCAGGTCACCAGGCCTTTCTTTCACAGATCTGCTGGGTTTAACTACCAACCTTTAGTTTGACAGCCCACTGCAAACTGTGCTATTCAGGGACTTTGGGTGCTTCCTAGACTCCCTTCAAATTGTGGTGGGGCTGTCGGTTGGCTGACCACTGTGCTTGGCTACCTGCCTGTCCAAGGTCATGTTCATTCTTGGGGTGGTCTACTTCCCATCAGAGGCCTGGCCACTCCCACCCAATCCTGGACAGCTCTCAAGAGCCATTCGAGATTCCGAGGACCCTCGGCTTGCAGGCTGCTGTCAGCCCTGCCCTGCGACCCAACCTCTTCTTCCCCTGCCCGTTCCCGTTCCTTCCTCTCTCTTCCACAGGTGTTGATGCCAAGGACACCCCTTAGCAAACATCCTGCACGCTCAACTCAGAATCAAAGCTGGCTTCCCTGAGATTCCCCAGCCCCCGTCTTTCAGCTTACCAGTCACGGCCAGCCCCACGTGACCAGCCTCTCCTGTGCCCCCGTCTGAAGGGGAACTCCCAACCAGGGGTAGACGGACCAACCCTCGAGTGTTAAATGTCAACAGAACCTAAAGGAACTTGGAATATTTTTCCCCTCTTAACAAAGTCTAGCTTTCTCTCTTTTTTTTTTTCCAGCCTGGTTCCGGCACCATGACCCCCGCAAAGAAGGGTGGTGAGAAGAAGAAAGGCCGTTCTGCCATCAACGAAGTGGTGACCAGAGAGCACACCATCAACATTCACAAGCGCATCCATGGAGTGGGATTTAAGAAGCATCCTCCTCAGGCACTAAAGGAGATCCGGAAATTTGCCATGAAGGAGATGGGAACACCAGATGTTCGCATTGACACCAGGCTTAACAAAGCTGTCTGGGCCAAAGGAATAAGAAATGTCCCATACCGCATCCGAGTACGGTTGTCCAGAAAACGTAATGAGGATGAAGATTCCCCAAACAAGCTGTATACACTGGTTACCTATGTACCTGTCACCACTTTCAAAAATCTACAGACTGTCAATGTGGATGAAAACTAACAGCTGATTGTCAAATAAAGTTATAAAACTGTCAAAAAACAAACAAACAAACAAAAAACAAAGCCTAGCTTTCAAGGACATTGTCTTGCTACAGAAGGACATCAGCTCTGAACATCTAAGCAGATAGTAACCCCTTTGTCTGGGGCATCTCACCCCCTCTTTCCTTCCATGAAGTCATAAACCTCAGAGCACGTAGTTGGGACATTGCAAGAAGACATGAGTTAAGGAGGGGATAAAAGCAGAGACTTAATAGCTCCAAAATAGAATCTATCGTGTTTTCAACATAGGTGGGGGACAGGCAGGGTTCTACTCTAGGCCTGACCTGGAAACACAATGTCAGGTGTCCTTGCCTTGTCGAATTTGAACTGTCTGCAAGCAGGAGGCCAAGTTGAAGGTTGTCTTGCGTTGACACCCTTATTCCTATACATTTTACTGCCTCCAAAGCTCTGCTAATTGCCAGCAAACAGAAGCAAGCCTCAAAGCTGAGCCAGGGCTGATGTTTGATGCTGTGTGAGATCAAAGGCAAAGGCCTTTAACAAGTGACTGATGTCCAAACAGAGGGTGACTGGCCTCTCTAGAGAAAAAACAGGCCTCACTCCTCCGGCAGGGCCTGGGCAGGGGTGGGTGGTGCTGCCTGCAGCAGGCTCTGGAAGGGCAGGAATGGGAGGTGAACCCACTGCATCGGGGAGGGGCCCAGGGGTGCATGGACACCCTCTCCCCAAGAACAGGACCAGGGTCCTGTAAGCCCAGCACGTGCTCAGCAAGTTAGCAGAGTGGGGGTTCCAAACAGTAGCTCAAATCCCTGTGCTCACACATCTGGGGTTGACAGGCAGCAAAATCTAGACAGAAGCGCATTCCGCCTCAGCGTGCGTTTGGTCTCCATGATTAACGGCCTAATGCTGTTGTGAGTTTGGATTCCACAGTGGCATCATCCTTTCAGTGCTGGAGGCCTTTAAGGGTCTTTCCCAGCCCAGCCCAGGAGGCAGGCGGTGGGCTGAATGACAAACGATGTGGGATGTGTGGAGAGGAGGGGCAAGGATGACCAAGGAGGTGTGGGTGGGTGGTCTGTCACGAGAGACCTGGCCTGTGCCTGGCAGCAGAGGGGAGCTGCTTTAGAGCCCTGCGGAGCTTGGCTCCAATCTGCAGGGGATGCTAGCTGAGCTCCCAGAGGCCCACAGTCCTGTCCTTGTCCTGAGACAGTGGTTCCCAGAGGGAGTCCCTGGACCAGGAATGCCAGCAGTGCCCGGGACTGTGGAGATCAGCTTCTGGTTCTGTTCAGCCCCTCCTACAGCAGCCTGAGCTGTGCAGAGACCCCTCCTGGACCTACAAGTCACTGTAGAGTTTGTGTGTATGTGTCAGCCTCCTATAGGCACAGGGTCACATTTAAAACTCACATACTAGGAGATGCATGCACTGTCTGCCTGAGGGCTTTTCCAATGGAGAAGCTGAAGCTCAGAAAGGTGAGGTGACCTGCTCTGAGTCACAGCACTGGACTCACTTCTGGGTCGGTGTGGCCCCCAAGTTGCTGGCCAGATGGGACCCCGGCCAAGGCTGAATCTACACACCCCACTAAGGATGGTGCCCCCACCCGTCACCCCATTTCCTCTGATTACCCTCTGTCAAAAGCCAGTCCTAAATCTCTCCTCCAGAGATGCGTCCTCCGAGCAGGGGGTGGGACAAGGGCGGGAGCCAGAGCCCCACCTCGGCAGCAGCTCCCCTGCCAAGGCGCTCGCCTGCCGGGCACAGTGGGGCAGGGCTGGCCATCGGCACAGTTGAGAGCACGCCCCCATTCCAAATCCAGCCTGCACCCCAAAGCCTGGCCAGAAGGTGCCAAGCCCTGCTGGGCAGTGGACCTACCACTTTCTGAGATCCCTGCAGTGCATTCAGATTCCCAGGATACTTCCTGACAGACAGCGTGGGGGACCTGCACTCAGTTGTCACCGACTTACAGGGTGACAGGAGCTGGTCCCCTCTCTTGGAATCTCAGCATTGTCATTTCTACAGTCAAGGATTGGACCAGTGGTTTCCTGTTCGTCTGAAAGTATGGATCTGAAATTCCCTTGCAGCATCTAAAGATTCTTGCAGCTGGGATGTGGAACCTCATCCTCCTTTGTCTTAAGACCAGGTCATGCTGCAGAACTTGGGAGTGTTTCTCAGGCTCGCCTGACGTGGCCTTGACTCTGCTCCTCTCTCCCCTGTCCCCACGTCCTTAAGGGGACTCCTCTCCTTTAGCACATCCAGGCAGGACATCAGGGCCCAGGTGGATCCGCAGAAGCAGGTCCCTCAGCAGAGACCCGGAGGCAGCCATGGGGGTCTGCACTGTCTTCACAGATGCCAACGTCTCATTTATCCCTGAGATCAATACCACAGGCATCACGATCTTCTCCATGCCCGGCTGGAAGCTGGCACTGTGGGCCTCAGCCTACCTGACCCTGGTGCTGGTAGCTGTGACAGGCAATGCCACAGTCATCTGGATCATCCTGGCCCATCAGAGAATGCGCACGGTCACCAACTACTTCATCGTGAACCTGGCCCTGGCAGACCTGTGCATGGCCGCCTTCAACGCAGCCTTCAACTTTGTCTACGCCAGCCACAACATCTGGTACTTCGGCCATGCTTTCTGCTACTTCCAGAACCTCTTTCCCATCACTGCCATGTTTGTCAGCATCTACTCCATGACAGCCATCACCGCTGACAGGCAAGAGCGGGGCCCTGGGGGTGGGGGGAGTCTCCTCGCTTTGCCGGGACTCACACTGGGGTGGTGAGCTGCCTGCATTTGCACAGCATGTTAAGGAGTGAACCCAGGGCGTTGATTATGACCTTAAACTATCTGGGAATCTGTGGACTGTGCAACCAAAGCATGCAAGCTTAAGGTTGATCACAGAAGAACTGAGCACTAGATGAGCCGTTCAAGGCTCTGAGAGAAGCGGTGGGGTTTCTCTCAAGTTGGTCTTTGTTTTAATGTCTTCCTTTTACAACAATGAAGTTGCTTCTATTATGTCCCTTTTCATATAGGTTATGTTGTTATGTAGTGTTGAGTCAGAATCAACGTACAGCTGACCCTCCAGCAGGTTTTCAGAGGCTGTAAATCACGTGGAAGGAGACTGCCCATCTTTCTCCCAAGGAGCAGCAAGTGGATTTGAACTGCCTGCCCTGGGGCTGGCAGCACAACTCCTACTGTTAGGCCTCCAGAGCTCACTACTTAGGTTCTACTAAAGGGACATTTTAAGGGGAAAGACTCAACAGATATGTCTTGGAGAGGATTCAGCCAGGGAGCTCCTTGGAGGCAAAGATGCTAAAGCTTGGTCTCACGTACTTTGGACATACTGTTAGGAGGGGCTCTTCCTTGGAGAGGGACATCGTGCTTGGAAAGGTGGAGGGATGGTGAAGGACAGAAAGACTCTCAACCAGGGGGACTGACACAACAACTGCAGCAATGGGCTTGGGGGTGTCAGAGATGCTGAGGACTGCACAGGACAGGACAGGGTTCAAATTTGTTGTTCATAGGGTCGCTATGAGTCGTACTCAGTGGCACCTCACAAAAACAGTAAGGAGATATTTTAATAGTTTATTAAGTTACATGTTTTTATTATTGATGTGGCTGTAACCATCCAGAAGCAGATACCCAGGCCTTATTTCTGAGGCATTTCCAGAGAGTTTGAACCACTAACCTCTCAGCCTATAGCCTGACTCTTTTCCTGTGTGTGCTGTCCACGACCTCTTCACACGACACACAAAGCATAACTCTATCCAACAGATGACTGGGCCTGCCTGTTTGTTCCTTACAACAGAGCTGACTACTGTCCTGTGCTGTTCCCAAGGGGTAGCAGGCCGCGAGCTCACTGAGGAGGCCAGGGCAGGGGGGCATAGTTATCTAGGGAGCTGGCTGGAGAGGGAACATGGGAGAGGAACTTTGAGTTCATAGCAGGAGAAAGGATGGGGGATATAGTTCAGATAGACAGCCCATGACACAATGCTCTCGAGGGTCCCATACTCTTGCCCTCAGAGAGGAAACACAGCACATAAGAGGCCCCACAGAGAAGAGGCAGGCTCCCAAAAAAGTGGATAGATGGGTCATTTGACCTTGAGATAGATGCAGGTGGCCTGGGTCCATGAGGTGTCAGACCCACCAGAGGCCAGGACACACTTACAGTGGCTTCTGGATCTGAGGACCAGAGTCCATTTGACCTCATGGCAGACAACAGGAGCCAGCCTGGGGTCACAGGCAGCTCCGCCTCTTCCACACTGGGGCCTTTCACTTCCCTAAACCTCCATTTCCTGATGCAGAAATGGAGATGACAACTCCTGCCTGAGATAACTTGGTTGCAGTTCACCTTACCAGTCTCCAGCAGAACTGTGTCCCCTAACGTTGTCAATGGCTAGTTTTCCTCAAGGAGATTGCCAGGCCTTTCTTCATAGGTGCCCCAGGGTGGACGCGATCCACCTGTGTTTTGGTTAGCAGTCAAAGGTGTCAGCTATTTTTTACATCCAGGGACTCTGACTTTCCAGAGGAGGAGTCCTTTCACATGGACGTTACTGAATCTGGAGGCAGGAGAAATTTTAGGTTGAGAGAGGAAGAAACACCCTGTGGAGGTGATGTGGGGCTGTTTCACAGGCAGCGACAGCCAGAGAAGGTGCTGGAAGCAATGCCAGAGGAGGCCAGAAAGCACAGTAACTACACAGCCGAGGGTCTTGAACATCACATTTAAAGTCTTAGACCAATACTTTAGCCACTCACCATACATGCCTATTTAAACATATTAAAATTGAAAGCTCTGGTGGCCTAGTGGATAAGGAGTTTCCCTGCCAACCTAAAGGCAAGTGGTTCGAATTCACCAGCTGCTCTTTGGGAGAAAGACAGGCAATCTCCTCCTGTGCCCTTGGATGCCACATTTGGAGTCTTGGGGAAATACTCTAGCCACTAATCATATGTGCGTATTTAAACTTAAAAGTAAATAACTAAAAAGTAAATAAACTAAAAGTAACTCCATTCCTCAGTAGCACTAGGAATTGGCAGACATGGAGCCCCTCCACTGGTAAACCGTTAGCTCTGCTAGGGTTTCTGAATGAGGGGTTCATGTGGCCAAGGGGCTCAGGCAGGGCTGAGCTTCAGGCTAACATTGAATACTTGGTCCTGCCCCAGACTGACTTCCGGTGTGGCCATCTGAGGGCATGTCCATGCTCAGAGGGAGATGGCAGGGCAGAGGCCTGGCTGGGGCTCTGGGAGCTGTTTCTGCAGTCACTGGACCTCGATGCTGAGTCTGGGACTGTAGTGTGAGGGCCTGTGGGGGAGCAAGGGAGGAAGGGCATGAGGGGCAGGGGAGAAAGGTCATTGGGGAGCAGAGGCAGAAGGTACGGGAGCAGGGGAGTAAATTTGGGAGCAGGGGAGGAAGGTGAGGGGAACAGGGGAGGAAGGGCATGGGGCATCAGGGGAGGAAGATGGAGGGTGCAGGGGAGAAAGATGGGGAGAGCAGGGAAGGAAAGTGGGGGAGCAGGGACGGAAGGTGGGAGAGTAAGGACGGAGGTGGGGGAACAAGGGAGGAAGGGTGTGGGTGTTCCAACAGAGGTGCTCCAGTACTCACTCCACCCTCTGCTGACAGGTACATGGCCATCGTCCACCCCTTCCAGCCCCGGCTCTCAGCCCCGAGCACCAAAGCGGTCATTGCTGGCATCTGGCTGGTGGCCCTGGCCCTGGCCTTCCCCCAGTGTTTCTACTCCACTATCACCACGGAGCAAGGGGCCACCAAGTGCATTGTGGCCTGGCCTGGAGACGGCGGGGGTATGACACGGCTCCTGTAAGGCGTCTCTGTCTCTGTCTCTCTCTCTCTGTGTGTGTGTGTGTGTGTGTGTGTGTGTGTGTGTGTGTGTAGTGTGTGCACGCACATGCGCCGAAGGACAAACCTGCTGCTCAGTCCTTGTGCATGCAGGCACATATTGGTGCACGTGTCTGACTGTGTATGATGATAGGCTAAAAGGAACTCTTATTATACAGACTATTCTAAGTACTTTGCATATAACCGCAGACCCATTACCTGCAAGTTGGAACCAACCCATAGCTGACCCTCCAGCGGGTTTTCAGAAGCTGTAAATCACCTGGGAGGAGACTGCCCATCTTTTTCCCAAGGAACAGCTTGTGGATTTGACCCAGGAGAGAGGCACTGTCTTCGGATTAGCTGTGCAACTCCCTACAGAGAGTGTCACCAGCCCCGCCTTTGCATATAATAATGGATTACATTCTCCAAGTCATCAATGGGAGACCCACACTATTTTTATCATTCTCATTTTTCATATGAGGAAACTGAGGCTCTGAAAAATGAAATGTCTTGCTTGAGACCACAGAGATAATAAGTAGTAAAACTGAAGTTCAAATCCAGTCAGGCTTACTCCAATCTTAGATTGGGTTAGAGCCCAGTCTCCCAGCCACCTATGACTTAATAGAGGACGTGCGAGCTCGCGTGAGAGATCCCCGTGTGGACTGTGTCTGAGCCTCCACGTATGGCTCAGTGCGTTCACCAGGGCGTGCGTGGGCCTGGACATGGATGTGCATGGATATTTGCGGTGTGTGTGTGTGCACAGGCATGTGTTAGGGAGGTGTGTTTTGAAGTTGTGTCGTTATTATTGTGTATTGTTGAGTAGGAGCTGACTCATACTTGGCCCTCCAGTGGATTTTCAGAGGCAGTAAATCTCATGGGAGGAGACAGCCCTTCCCTCTTCCATGGAGCAGCTGATGGATTCAAACCTTGTGCAGAGGGAACTATGCATGCTCGGGCCCCAGGAAGTTGGGAAGGACGGGTAGACAGAGCCCAGGAGGTTTTCCACAGGATCCCTGGTGTTTTCATTTTAAGGTGTCAGCACAGGCTAGTGGAACTGGGGTGGAAGTGTGAGAAGGACTTCAGGCATGGTCCAGTCCTGTGTGGCCCCCTTCTGGGCCTCCATCCCCCCAGCTGTCACAGTGTGGTTCTTGTGGTCCCCGCATTACACCAGTTGCTCACTGTGGATAAAGAACCGGCCGAGGACGTAGATTTTGGAGTGAGTCAGCAGGGTTCGAGGCCTGCTCTGTTTCCTGAATAGTCACTCCACCTCTCTGCACCTTTCGCTGCTTCTCTCTAAAATGGAGGCCAGCAATAGTACTTTGTGATTATGAATGGGAGGCTGGATGTGAACTCAGCGCAGAACTCGTGCCCACTGGGTGATAGTTTAAGCAGGAGTCCGAAGAAGCGCATGTTCTGAGCTGAAGACTGCCGGGTAACCATGGCAGCACTGCCTCCCCCCACCCTCCCCCTCTTTTACAGCCCTCCCCCACGTTCACCCCTACCTGGTCTCCATCTGTTCCCTGCATCTGCCATGGAGAAGATGGCACTGTGGCCTTCACTGCGGGGGAAGGAGCCATTCCTGTGAGAAGTCAGTGTGGAGCGGAGAAGCTTAAGGGCAGACCCTTTCTGGGGTCTCTGATCCCTCTATACGCCCCACTTTCTCAGAAGGAGACTGTGTGGGGTGGGCAGTGGGAAGGGGTGCTCTACTCTGTCTCAAGATGGGGAGGGTGGGGCAGGATGCAAACTACTTTGAGAATGGCCACTAGGCGTCAGTGTTTCCTCAGCTAAACAAGCCTTTTCCCCAGAGAGGAGAGGCCCGTAGGAATTCAGGGGGTGATTTAAAGGCTGGCGCTGCAGACCTGCCTGGCAGTCAGTCCTCAGCCCGCTCTTTGTTGGAGGAAGGCAGGGGCATCACGCGGGATGGAATACCACCAAAAGGAAAGGACCCTGTCTCAGCACAGCGGAACTGACCTCCTGAGGCTGGGCAAGTAACACGCGCGACAGCATTCTGAGCTGCTTGCTCAAAGGTGCTTTGAAAGAGTGGTACCATGAAACATGTTCCCAGCCTAACTGAGGTGCGCAGAATATAGATGTCAGGCTAGCCTGTACAACGTGGCGCTCGTCCACTGCCCCTGGATAGGGATGCTGGTGTAGGATCATGTCAATGCCAGCAACTATGTTTACACAGATACATGTGAAGTTGTTGTTGTTGTGTACTGTTGTTTTCACTCACAATGACAGCACAGAATTGCCCCATAAGGTTTTCTTGCCTGTCATCCTTACAGAAACAAATCACCGATTCTTGTTCCCACAGAGCCACTTGGATGGGTTCAAACTGCCAGCCTTTCAGTTAGCAGCCAAGAGCTTAGCAGTTATATGTTTTATCTATCTACATCCGAGGGAACTCTGGTGGCCTTGTGGGTAGAGAGTTGCACTGCTAATCCTTTGATACAAAGTTTGAAACCACCAGCTGCTTTAAAGGGAGAAAGGTGGGCCCTTCCCTCCTTTGTGATTTATAGCCTCTGAATACCGGCTGGAGGATCAGCTATGAGTCAGGCTTTACTCATAGCTGGCAACTAGCTTGAGTTTGAGTTTTAACTACATCAAAATGAAAAAAAAATAAAATAAAAAAATTCCTAAATCCGTTGCTGTCAAGTTGAATTGATTCCTAGCAACCCTTTAGGACAGAGAGCAGCCCCAGAGGGTTCCCAGGGCCACACAGCTTTATGGAGGTCGACAGCCATATTTCCTTCCTGCTGAGCAGCTAGTGTATTTGAACTACATTTGATATTGTCCTTAGAAGCTGAGTGCTTAACCACTGCACCACCAGTACTCTTTCCTACCATCTACATGCATATCTTTTGTTGTTGTTAGGTGTCGTCGAGTCCAGTATGATTCCTAGTGACCCTATGATATCCTGTGCCATCCTCATCATCTCTGACACACTATGACTTTTTGGCCAGCAGTATAACCAACTCACCACAGCACCTTATAATATATATGTCAACACATTGCCATGGAGTCTGCACTGACTCACAGCTGACCCTCCAAGTGGGTTTTCAGGAGGCTGCAAATCACATGAGAAGAGAATGCCTTTCTACTGAGCAACCACTGGTAGAACTGAACTGTCAGAGAGGAACTATCTTTTTTTTTTTTTTTTTAGGAACTATCTTTGAGTTAGCCAATTTCCCTATGGGTTTATGCCATCAGAGGTTTCTTATGGTATATATGATAGCTAATGTATAGCAGTTTTATCTATATCTACCTAATTTGTTGTTATGTGCCATTGTGTAGGAACTGACTCATAGCTGACCCTCCAGCAGGTTTTCAGAGGCAGTATATCGCACGGGAGGAAATTGCCCATCCTTGTCCATGGAGCAGCTCGTGGTTTCAAACCATGTGCTTTGGGATTGCAGTGCAGCTTCATACCACTAAGCCACCAGAGCTCCTCATAATACATGCATGTATATATCTATCGGTACACACACACACACACACACACACATATATATACTTACACATGCATGCAATTCTGGAGAGAAATACGCAAAATTAATAGTGATGTTATGAGATATGTAATTTTATTTTCCTGTAGCACAGGATAGGTAGGACAGGGTTCAGATCTGTTCACAGGATCACTATAAGTTGTACTCGAATCAAAATCACCTAACAAAAACATATCTAATAGTATTTTTTTATTCAAAGAAAAAAAATTCACATTATTTGAGGTTTCGCCCATTCCCATTCATTTTTATTAACATTTGTTTTTTGTTGCTTGTCCGTAACAAGGAAGTAAGTAGGGTTAATACCCTTACCCTTTCCGCGACACAGAAAGCCTTCCTTTTGGTATACACAAATGGTGCCCTTCATGTGGAGGCTCAGGGTGGGGCCCAGGGCCCAGGTCAGCAGCTGGACACTTACTCAGGGACCACGTGCTGATGGACGTAGCGACTACTCGCCCATGTGCCCAGGTACCGGCTTTCCTTCTAGGTACCACCTCGTGGTGATCGCCCTCATCTACTTCCTGCCCCTAGTGGTGATGTTTGTCGCTTACACCGTCATCGGCCTCACGCTCTGGAGGCGCACTGTTCCGGGGCATCAGATCCACGGGGCCAACCTGCGCTACCTGCAAGCCAAGAAGAAGGTGCGCGCGGGGCTGAGAGAGATGGGGGGAAATGGCCCGGGGACGTGTCAGGGGAGGGAGGGGCGAGTTTACGGGCAGGTTGGGGGCGGGACAGAGCGTGCCGTGCGCAGACGGGGGGGGGTGCATCAGTGGGCGGGGCCGGATGGCGCGTGGAGCGTAGAGAACAAGGGCGTGTCTCGTGCTGGGGCGGGGCCTCCTGTGCTAGGCCCCGCCCCTAGGAGCCACAGCCTGGTCTCTGATCTTGTCTGCTCAAGGGGACTGCGAACAGAGGATCCACTGCAATGTGCCTTGTCCCACCCCTGGGGAGTATTTACCTTTGTCTTTGCTCAAATACAAAGGTAAAAGAACTTCTTGAATCTTTGAAGATGCGAGAATCCCAAAGCCTCAATTTCTATTATTTCCAAACATCATAGAACGATAGAATCCTTAGATTTTAGTGAGCTAGATATAAATGACGATGATAGATGATAGATAGATAGATAGATAGATAGATAGATAGATAGATAGATAGATAGATAGATAGATAGATAATAGATAGAACGAACAATTTGCCAGCAGACAACTACATGCATATATATGTGTGTGTCTGAACTGGCTCATAGCTGACCCTCGACCGGATGTTCAGAGGAGGGAGGAGACATTGTCCATCCTTTTTCCACAGAGCAGATGCTCTGCACACCCAGCATAACTTTATAAGCCCAGAACTGCAAAAACTTCATAGCCACAGAACCACAGATGAACCCTCAGAGCCAAGAGTGCAGTATCAGAGGTTACAGAGACCACCCTGTGGTCCAGCTTCCTCAAGTCTGACATACTCACCTGGAGCTGTCGATGTCCTCCCCTCCTCTAGGTTCCCAGGAACATTTCATGTCCAGACCTCCTCCACCTGTCCCCACCAAAGTGCATATATATTATCTATCTACATCCAAAGGTCTGGTAACCCAGTGGGTAGGGAGTTTTCCATGTCCTCTACTGGTGAGGCAGCCAGAGGAAGTAATGGGTTAACCACATCATGGATCTGATCCCGTAAGGTCAGGGCTTTGTACCTGCCATTAGGGATTTAACTAGGCGTGGCTCAGGGAAGTAGTTGGGCAGGGACATTAATCTCCTGGGTGCCCATCCTCAGGGAGAGGTGAGCTTCCTGTGCCCTCTCTGGTCCTTCCTTTCCCTCAGGTGCAGGGCCATGCAGGAGGGGACATTGCAGGACTTGCTCCTGGACAGAGGGGGGCTCCTGGTTGCCATCTCATTGCCTGTGTATAGAATAGTTGTGGCAGACACAGATCTCAGGGAGAGAGGGCACAGAGTGGACACAGGGCCTCCTCCCCTGAGGTTAGTGTTAAAGAACTCAGCTACTCTTCAGAGGGAAAGGTTGCTTTATGAGTGAAGGGATCCAGCAAACCCTCCGGAGGAGGTGGCAGCTGAGTTGGGCTTTGAGGGATGGGAGCTTAAAGGGATGTGGGTGCAGGGCCTGTGCAAAGGCCCTGAGGTGGAGGCACAGAAGTATCTAGTCAAGAAACGCTCTGGGAAGCTGAGATGGTGGAAGAAGCTGAGGCCTGAATGTGGGAGCCTCCTGAGCCTGGCCTGAGGGGCACCCCCTGCCTTGACTTCACAAGGGCTGGGGGCTTAGGACTCAGAGACTAAAGAATAACCTGAGCCTTTCTTGGCCAGTTTGTGAAGACTATGGTGCTGGTGGTGGTGACATTTGCAGTCTGCTGGCTGCCCTACCATCTCTACTTCATCCTGGGCAACTTCCAGGAGGACATCTACTGTCACAAGTTCATCCAGCAGGTCTACCTGGCTCTCTTCTGGTTGGCCATGAGCTCCACAATGTACAACCCTATCATCTACTGCTGCCTCAACCGCAGGTGAGCCCCCGGCCAGCCCTCAGCCAGCCCACAGGGCTCCACAGCCTGGCCTCACCCAGGTCCCTGCACAGTTAGACCGCCACCTGGGTCCTGTCTGAGCCTCTGCTCCTCTCTGCCACCCCCTCACCCCCACACCACACATAGGAACACAGTCCCCCTAGCTGGCCCACGGCACAATCCTCTGGTGGGGGAAGCCTAGCTTGAGGTTCACCTTCTGCTCACAGCTTTGTCCAACCGCCCAAGCCATAGATCTCACTTTGTCTGCTCTTTCTTTTGGGGTCTCATAGAAGGAGGGAACAGAGGGAGGGGGGGAGGCAGAAAAGGAGGAAAGGGAAAGAAAAGGAGGAATGTATTTCTGTCCTGATCATTTTTTCACTTTATTCATTTTTAAAAGCTAAAAAGACTCATTGCCGTTGAGTAAGAATCACCTTTGTGGACTGTAGAGTTGACCACCCATTGGGTTTCAGAGGCTGTAAATCACACAAGAGGAGAGTGTCCACAGGAGGAGAGCATCCACTCTTCTCCTTCCAATCTGCTTTGGAGTTTGTGTTGTGTTGTCTTGTTTGGTTGGTCGGTTTTTCTTGCTGTGTACCATCGAATCAGATCCGACTGGCACAGGAGGAGATTGCCCCTCCTTCTCCAGCAGAGAATCTGGTGGATCCATATCCTTCCAATCTGCTAACGGATTTGAATCACCAGAGAGGAAAGCCTTTGGGTTAGCAGAAAAATTCCGTACAGACGGTGCTCCAATTTAAAAACATATTTTATTACTGTTTGGGTGGTTTAGATTTACAGAAAAATTGTTCACATGGAGCCTCATATGCCTTATCTCCTTCCTGTTTCTTCTGTTAACACTGCAGTCCAAACAAGTGAGCTATTGTTATTATGTGCTGTCGAATCACTTGTGACTCATAGCGACCCTATGTACAACAGCCCTAAACCCTGCTCTGTCCTGTGCCAATCTTACTGTTCATGACACACCTACCCCCATTATCCCAGTCACTGAATCAATCCATCTCGCCGAGGATCTTTCTCTCCTGTGCTGTCCCTCTACCTTCCCAGGCATGATGTCCCTCTCCAAGGACTGATCCTTCCTAAACATGTCCAAAGTATGTCAGACGAAGCTTCAGAATCCTTGCCTCCAAGGAGTAGCCCGGTTTCACACTCTCTAGGATGAACCTTTGTTTTTCTAGCAATCCATGGTATAATCAATACTCTTTTTCAGCACCACAGCTCAAAGGCATCAATTCTCCTTCTATCAACCCTTGTCCATTGTCCAGCTGACACATAGCAAGAAACTGCAGGACTATGGCCTGGATCAGGCACACCTTAGTCTTTAGACTGACACTGTTACTTTTCAGTACTCTGGAAAGGTCCCTAACAGCAAACTTTCCCAATGCAATTTGTCTTTTAATTTCCTGGCTGCTGGTACTAAGAGTGTTGACTGTGGAGCCAAGCAAACTAAAGCTGTTAACAATCTCAATCTCTTCACCCTCCATAGTGATGCTGCCAGTTGCCCCAATGGTGAGAATCTTTATTTTCTTGATGTTGAGCTTCAGTCCATATTGAAGGCTGCAGTCCTTGACCTTCTGCAGCAAGTGAAAGAAGAGAGCTCTGGGAGTGCAGCATGTAGCAAGTAGCACCTCTCTAGTGGGTCACATCTACCAGTGGCTCCTTGTAAGAAAAATGGAAAACCTCCTCCTCCTGTGTGATTCGCAGGCTCAAGAGGCCTGCTACTGGGTCAGCTATGAGTTGGTTCTGATTGACGGCAGTGAGTGAGTGAAATGAAAGAGGTCAGTTTGCACAGATGCATACTATATCACTACAGCTGTATGACATTCTGCAAAAGGGAACTTAAAGGGACTATGAAAAAGGAGGTGAGCTCTGGTGGCCTAGTGGAAAGAAGCTGCACTGCAATCCCAGAGGTGCATAGTTCAAATCCACCAGATGTTTTGCTGGAGAAGGAGGGACAATCTCCTCCTGTACCACTCATATCTGATTTGATGGTACAAACACAAAATAATAAAACTTTTTAAAAAAAGAGACCAAAAAATGAGTAGTTGCTGGGGTGGGAGAGGTGAACAGATATAGCACAGGGCACTTTTAGGATGGTGAAAGTATTCTCTACAACTCATGATTATGCAAATTTCAAAACCCATGCTGTTGTCATTTTTGTGTACTGTCAAGTCAGAACCAGCCCCGTGCAACTCTCCAGCAGGTTTTCAGAGGCAGTCAATTGCACAGGGGGAAAGTATCCATCTTTTTCCCATGGAGCAAGCTGGTGGATTTGAACCACATACCTTTGTGTTGGCAACACAATTCCTAACCACTAAGCCACCAGAGCTCCCACTGTTGGATACCTTGGCACAATGCCACAGGATTTTCTGGCCTGTAATCTTTCAAGGAGCTGATTGTTGGGTCTTTCTCCTGCAGAGCCACAGGTGGGTTTGAACTGACAATCTTTCTGTTAGTGGTGGTGTTGTATACCGTAGAGCCGGAATCGACCCATAGCTGAGCTTCCAGTGGGCTTTCAGAGGCAGTTAATCACAAGGGAGGAGACTGCCCATCCTTCTCCCGCAGAGCAGCTGGCAGCCTCGATCCTTTTCAGGATTGCAGTGCTGCTTCTTGCCACTAAACCACCAGAGCTCCCCGATTAACCATTGCACCACAGGGCTCGTGAAGGGTCTGTACTTCACAAACCCTGATGGTGGGCTTTAATGCATCCACACAAACACACAGCCCTGTCATTTTAAGAGCTTACTGCAGTAAAGAAGCACTCCAAGGCTTTTCCTGGAGTTCTGTGAGCAGCACTCACCCCACAGAGCTGGGGCCAGGACTACGGGTCAGGACCCACGGGCCCTCTACTTCTGGGGTTGGAGGGGAAGCACAGTCAATCTGCTGCCCTCCAGCGCCTTCCTGGCGTAGCCTGAAGGGACGTTGGCTGAGACGGTGAGGAGGTGAGGAGGAAGGGAGCAGCCCTCCCTCCTGTGTGCCTCTTGTCTCCTCGCCTCCTGGGAAGTGGAGTCTCAGAGGAACAAGTTGTTTCTAGGGCACAGTGGGGGGTGGGGGGGGATGACTGGAAGAAGGGCCACACCCAGAGCAGATGTGTCTCAGGCCCTGGCAAACCCAGAGGTAGGTCCAGGTAAGAGGTGAGGCATGGTCACTGTGTTCTGAGCACTGTAGGACAGCTTTGTTCCTGTTTCTGATCAGTCCTCCATCTAGGTGCCAGGCCACTCACAATGCCATTAAAGTCTATGTTGCTCAGACGTTTTCCCTACCTGGGCTAAGTCAAAAGGAAGTGAAAAAATTTTGGGTTTTTTTTGAGAACTCACTGGGTATGGGGGAGGGGGACAGTTGTTCAGGAGAGAAGAATCTGGAGCTGGCTTTGGGACAAGGTGAGTGTGGAGGAAGGAAACCATGTGGCGCCACATTGTGGACACTTGTGGGACTACACTGCCTCACAGAAGAGCTAGTGTGTCCAGAGCAGAAGTGTTTAATATACTAACAATGTAGTGTTTTCTTTCACCATCGTCTCCTTGGGAGACTGTCCTTGATCTAACATTGCCAGAACCCTAAACAGTCAAGCTGTTGTTGTTATGTACCATTGATTCAGAACCCACTCACAGCTGACCGTCCAGTGGGTTATCAAAGGCAGTAAATCACACAGGATTGTCCACCTTCCTCCACGGAACAGCTGCTGGATTCAAACTGCATGTCTTTAGGTTGGCAATGCAACACTTTGCCACCAGGCCAGTTTAGACAAGACAATCTGCTTGCCTTTATCATTATACTTGTTTGTATAAACAAATGGTCTGAATCAGTTTATTCACCCATTCCAATCTCTAGATTTGACTCCATATTACTTCTTTTTCCAAATAAAATCAAACCCACTAAGGGACAACTAGAAGCTCTGGTGGTGTAGTCCACAGGGAGTCGAGTGGCTAACACAAAGGCCATGCCAGTTTGAATCCACCAGTCACTCTCAGGACAACATGGACAACTGCAATCTTCTGTGTGACTTACGGTCTCTGAAAACCCCCTGGAGATAGCAATGAGGTGGTTCAACTCAAGGACAAAGGATGAATTGTCCAAGGATACTGGACAAGAGACAGCAGTTTGATGTGGAGAAGAGGTGCTTCCGGAGGTGGAAGCAGCCACACCCGCTCCATGCTCACCATGACCGTCTACCCCCAGGTTCCGCTCTGGCTTCCGGCTGGCCTTCCGCTGCTGCCCGTGGGTCACACCAACCGAGAAAGACAAGCTCGAGCTGACTCACACTCCATCCCTCTCGATGAAGGTGAAAAGGTGTCACACTAAGGAGATTGTCTTCATGGTTCTATCAGAGGCTACCAATGGGCAGCCGGCAGATGGCCACTTTGAGGTGCCCACTGAACTCTGAGTTGTGGGATGAACCGGATCCCCTCTTAGAAGTAGCTAGTTAAGAATATAAGAGTGAGAAGTAGGCCCACTCTTCACCCTTTATCAGATTAGTACAAAGATGGACCTGCGAACCCTAGAGAATGCAGATTCTTAAAGGGACAATCCAGAGAGCACCTGAGAGGATCTGGTCCGAGATGGCCAGTAAACAGACTCTTTGTTCAGGAGGTGCAAGCTCACATGCCCTACTGGGGCCAGGCACAGAAGGCCAATGTTTGATTAGGTCAAGCATGAAAGAAGAACTACAACATCATAGAAGGCAACAGACTCCTTGGCCCAAAATAGGGAATGGTGAGGACTGGCAAACTGGGAAGAACAGCTATCCAAAGGGGACAGACAGATCCTGCTGCTTAGTTATGGACAAAGTTGCTATGTGAGAACGGAAGTCCATTATTGCCAGATCTTGTAATTTTTCAAGAGAAGCCAGAGATCCAAACTTGTAAAAATATCTCGAAGCATGGCTTACATTTTCATAAACCTTGGGTAAGCCAAATAAAACACTTCAGTGGGCAGCATACAACCCTGTCAGTAGTTAAGGATCAAACTAAAGACACAAAAGAGGAACCTTACTTTGCAAAGCCCATTGACTGGTTTTCTCTGCTTCTAAGAACTCAAAGATGGCAATCAGGAGTCCAAAGGAACTAGCCTTGCCTCCCAGCTGTGTTACCACAGGCAAAACACCCTCAACTTGAGCCTCTTCCCCTGTCAGAGACAACCTCTCCCGGGGATATGGTCAGGGTCCAGGGAGGTAATGCCCATAATCTAGCAGGCCAGAGTAACTGCTCAAGAAACAGCTAGGACTTTTATCATCATGATGCCACAGAAGCTCCCCTTCTCACTTCCACAAGATGGCAGAACACCAAGTATCCTGACTCCCAGCAAGCCTGGTCCAGCCCACCCAGGGGGCACCTCGACCTGCTTATCCACTCTCCCACCTACCCAGTGCTCCTCCAGAAGAACCACATTACATCGCAAATGCACAGCAAAAACATTTAATATCATGTGTTCTCCACAGAGGTCACCTTCACTGCCAATGCCTTAAATAAAGAGACTGAGGTCACTGAACTGAATGATTCTGCAGGCAGGCAGTGTTGGAGGGCCCAGAAGCTTGGGTGACTCACATGATGCTGCAGTCATGGAACACATATGATTGATGTGATCATCAGAATGTGATGTGATCATTAGTCCAACAAAGGGCTGGGGCGGAGGGATGTAAAATTGTGGTCATGGGTGGAAAAGCTGAAGATGTTTGAGGCTAGGGCTCAGACAGAGTGGGTCAGGAAGAATAAGATTAAGAAGGGGTCCATAGAGCAAATGCCAATACCCTGGGCTGTTTTGAAACAAATTCTGTCAAGGCAGAAGATTCCATGTAAGCTGTTGTCAGAGTTGGCAGAGAAGGTGATAAAGGGCCTGCATCGGGGGAGGGGGAGGGAAGGGCCAATGTGGTGCTGTCCTCTTACTACACCCAAAATGCCCCTGGAAGCTGAGCTGACATTCTGTTTCAATAGCAAGTAAGGAGGACAAGTCTAGAAAAGACACAATGGTCCTATTCTCTCTTACAGGTGCTTGGGTGGGGTTGTGGGGGCCTGTTGATGGGGTAGGACTCGGGGTAAGGGCAGGTCCTGGAAGACAAGGGGAGGATTCTTCCATATATGGCTCTAGGGAAGCATCATCTGAGGTGAACGCATCTCAAGGACAGTCTTCGGCTTGCCCAGACAATGACCATGACCATGACCATCCCAGCAAGGTCTCCAGCTCGCTCCCCACTTCCCTCCCCTCCCCGGCCAGGAAGCATTACTCAGACTCCATGTTGGTACAAAGTTTACTAGGTCATACAACATGGCTCACAGAAGCGATGGGAGATTCCAGTGACGGCACTGGTGGGTGGCTGGTTCCTTTTACCCAAATGGAGACAAGACACTTTCCCCTGGGACTGCCACCTCCCCTCACAAGACAAACAGAATGCAAGACGGTCACAATGCAGCGATGACGGGTTTCACGGACACACAATTTGGTGGCACTGGCACATCCTGATGGGGCCTTGGGATGCCACACAGCAGGCAGAGGGCGCCGGGATGGGAGGAAGCGGCTAGTGCTACGTCCACACACACCCATCAGGGCACCCAGGGAGGCGGAGTCCCGGCAGTGTCTGCTGGTGATAATACATTTTACACAGGGGGATGTGTCCCCTAGGACGGGCGTCAGCAGCCCCCAGGACCTGTCTGAGAATGTGACTTTTCATCTCGAGCCAATAAATAACTTGGTTGAATGAATGCATAAATTAGAAGTGGATGTCACTAGGCTTTACACGTTGGGGAACGTACGACCAGGTGGAAATCAAACCATGCAGAGTGGTGGGGCAGGTGAGGAGAAATCTGGAGGTGAGAGATTACCAATGGCACACACTATCTTGTACCCTATTTTTTATGCCATGAGCTGGGTGTGTGTTCCTCGTGCCGCGGTGGCAGGCTCCTGCACCCGTACCTCCCAGCCTGGCTCACTGGGAGGAACTGGGGCCGCTGCTGGAGGGGCAGAGCTGGAAGGGCGGCAGGCCAGGTCCTCACTCCTAGCTGCTCGGGGGTACCTCTCCGCGGAGCCGCACGCCCACCGCTGTGATGAGGGCAGCCCCCTTGCCGCTACCATCTTCTGACAGCAGGAAAGACACGTTACACTTTGGTGATAGTTCCTTCACGGTTTGGTGCATGATTCTGGAGAAGCTAAATGTGGCAAAACAACAGGACAAGGTTGGAAAGGAGGGAGAGAAAATGAGAAGATGTGTCAGACCCAGTGAAATGCTACAGCATGGAACCACAGAGAGGGCAGGTGAGATGGGTGGGCCATTCAAAAGGTTTCCTGAAGAAGGCTGAGCTGAAAGTCTACTTCTTTGTGATTTCAACAGGCGGGCACATCTGAAACACCAAAGACAGGCTATTTGCAGGAAGGGCCAGGGCCTGACAGACGCTCGGACACCTCAGGACTCCTCATCATTTCATCCCAGACAAGCCTAATTCCCCGAAACCATCAACCTTCGAGCTGCTTCTGCCTGGAGGAAATCGCCCCTGAAAGGATCCCAATGCTCCTGGAAGCTCGGCCCCGTCAAACCTGAAGCCAACTTACTGTGGATGAAGTTTGAAGAGCGTGCCGTCCACACCCACTGTCACATTCAGACGGTCCAGTCCCCTGTTCTCGCGGATCTTGTCCACCACGGCAGCCATGCCCGCACCGCACAGCTGCGCGGCCCGCCTGGACACCACCCCGCACACAGTTTTCACGAGGATACTGTCATCGCACGTGCTGTTCAGCCCCAGCTGCTGGAGGATGGCTCGGACCTGCAGCAGCGCTAACCGGTCACTGCAGGGGACAAAACCAGGGGGCTGGATGGAACCGGACCCTTGAGAGCTGACCTCCCAGGACCGGCCCCGTATCACTGTGTCCCCATGAGCATTACTTTTTTTTCCTTCAAAAGATCATTTACTTTCTTTAAATGCCACAAAAGCATTACACATTAAAACTGTAGACAATTTTACTATTGGAGTTGGATTTTCAAAGTCCAATTTTCAAATGTTGGTATTGTTTTATGATGAAAAAGTAATTTTCCCTTCTTAAAAAGAATATTATTTACACAATGAAGTAATTCTTGGTATTATTTAAGGATTTCGTTTTTTGGATAATTGCAAAGCTGAGCAAAGAGCAAACCACTCAAAAGCCTCAAAAGTGACTAAGATACATATCATACATCCCAACACACACTTAAAAAAGCTCACCCTACATTCCATTAAGCAAAACACCAGGTTTCTAGAATTCTACCACCAAAAATTCTGGTGAAAATTCAGCATTGCCTTTTGAAAATGTACTCCCGATTTTACAAATTCCTTTCAACAGTCCAGAGTTGTGGTGTTTTGTTGTTTGGGTTTGTCTTTCTTTTTTTTTTTTAAAAAAAAAAAAAGTAAAACTGCTGCTTCCCTGAGAAAACACCAAATGGTGCATGACACGGGTGCAGCGGGAGGACCTGGAGGCCCTGGGATGGGCGCCCGCGGTGGTTTCTGTGGAGGCTTCAGTAGCGGTCTATGAGGTTGGGGGCACAGCTGTGGGCGGGGCCATGGGGGGACCATGGAGCTTGAGGAGGCAAAGCAGAGGACAAGGAGTGGCTCCCCATCACCAAACTGGACTGTCTGGTCAAAGATTTGAAGATCAAATCCTTGGATTTATCTCTTCTCCCTGCCCATCAAGGAGTCTGAGATCATTGTCTTCTTCCTGGGGATGTCCCTCAAGGATGAGGTCTTGAAAATCATGCCAGTGCAGAAGCAGACACGTGCCAGCTGCTACCAGCTTTGTCGTCACTGGAAACTGTAATGGCCACGTTAGCTTGGGTGTCAAGTGCTCCAAGGAGGTGACTACTACCGCCATCCGTGGAGCCATTATCCTAGCCAAGCTCTCCACTGTCCCTTTGTGGTGTGGCTACTGGGGGAACAAGATTGGCAAGCCTCACACCGTTCCCTGCAAGGTGACTGGGCGCTGTGGCTCTGTGTTGGTGTGTCTGATCCCCAAGGCACTGGAATCCTCTCGGCCCCTGAGCCCAAGAAGCTACTGCTGGTGGCTGGAATTGACGACTACTACACCTCAGCCAGGGGCTGCAAAGCTACCTGGAAAACTTTGCCAAGGCCACCTTTGATGCCATCTCTAAGATCTACAGCTAACTGACCCCAGATCTCAGGAAAAAGACTGTGTTCACCAAGTCTCCCAACCAGGAATTCCCTGACCATCTTGTAAAGACTCACACCAGAGTCTCCATGCAGAGGACCAGGCTCCAGCTGTGGCCATCACATAGTGGATTTTGTATAACAATAAAGTGAATTAAGTTAAAAACAAAACGAAAAAACAAAAACAAACCCAAAAAACAAGAAACTAAAAGTTATGCTTTTTTATTAATTTGTTTTCATGACTTAAGATGTAAAATGATTG